TTAACCACTCGGGCAGAGTGCCTTAGATGTTGGCAGGAGCGAATGTTGTGTATATATAGCATCAAACAACGGATTACTGTTGCCAGATCAAATCGTCCCGACGATCTGGCATGGTTTCGGGTCCAATCCTCACACTGAGCCGAAAAGCGGCGCTCATGAAGCTTTCCTTCTTCGGACGACACAGCGGCTGCACGTTCGTTTCAACGCAGAGAGAAGCAAACCTGCTATGCAAATTCAGTCTAGATAAACGGACGCAAAGATGGAACGAGCGAGCGCCTCATCGGAGAGAGTGAGTGGGATGGCGCCTCGACTGCATCACTCGAGCCCGCGCAAGGCAGTCTGGGTAAGCTCGATGACCTGGTCGATGTCCGGGCGATCTTCTGGCTTGACCTGGATGCAGCGCTTGATGATCTCGCGCGTCTTCTCCGAGTACGGATCCTGCGAGCTCGGAGGCGTCTTGTACGAGCCGTTGAGCACTGCCAGTGCAATCGAGCCGCCCTGCTCTACCGTCTGTGTCGTCTCGAACGGCGAGTGCAGGTAGGCAAGCGCGTACAGCAAGCATCCGAGCGACCAGATGTCGACCGCTTCGGTCAGCGTCACATCCGTCGGCACGTCGAACAGCTCCGGCGCACGGTACGGCATCGACGATCGCTCCGCCGCCAGGTCCTGATGTGCCACCGCCTCTTTGCGCGTCTTGATGTGCACACGCGCCTTGATTGTGCTTCCAAAGTCCATCAGGATTGGCGTCTGGCCGTCATCGGCGACCATCACGTTGCCTGGCTTGATGTCGCGATGCGCGTACGGCAAAAGCCCGCCTGCACCTCCCTGCTCTGCGCCGCCGTGTGTTGCATCGCCCGCCGAGTCGAGCCCAAAGTCGCGGCCTTTGCCCTTGTTGGGTTTGGGCGGGTACGATGCGTTGTCGTCATCGGCATCTTCCAGCTGCTGCTCGCCAGAGATGAGGGGTGCTTGATCTGCTTGGGTGTCAGCCGCCTGGGAGTCGGAAAAGGGATCCTGCGGCGGGGTCACCTCCATGCGCGGTATTGTCGAGGAGCCTGCACCGCCGCGCGTCGCGCCGACGTTCGGCAGGCGGTAGTGATGCATCTCTCGCACTGCCTTGCAGGTTCCGAGGAAGAAGTTGAGCATTTCGCGCTCTCCGAAGCGTGTTCCGCGCACGACGTGCGCATTGATCACATCTTGCAAGTTGCCCTTTTCGTAGAAGGGAAGGAAGAGGTAGATCACCTTGCCTCCGTCCGAGCCACGGCCACCGGCTCCATCGGGATCGTTCGAAGGCAGGTTGCCGAAGAGCGTCCCCGATCCCGCATCATCCTGGACCACACAGCTGTCGTAGATGGGGATGATGTGAGGCGATCGAAAGCGTTTGGTTGCCTCGATCTCCTTCATGGCCTCTTGGAACGAGTCGGCGCCGTAGCCCGAGCATCGGATCTTCTTGAGCGCAAACAGGCGTCCCGAAGCCTGGTCCTTGACAAGATAGACGAAGCTGAAGCCGCCCTCGCCGAGCAATTTGACGATCTGAAAGTTGCGGCCGTTGAGCTTCAGCACCGAGGTCTCGGGCGTACACGGCAGACACGACGAGAGCGCAAAGATGGCATCCTGGGCGCGCTCGAAGAGGCTGCCCAGAATTCCGGCGGATGAGGATTGGATGGACGGCATGGTCGCTGAGTGCACAATACCGGCTGCGGTGTTGGAAATGGGCGGGGGAAAGCAGCGTGCGGGTGGGGAGAAGAAGACAAGATCAACACCTTCGCGAGGCGGCGAGTTGGATGCAGCACACGTTGAGGTCTAGATCGGAATCGGGCTGCCCCGTGCGTGGGTGTGTTGCACTCTACGTGTGCGGCTCGTGGCAACGGCGAAGTGGATCGCCTGCTTAGATCTAACAAATCCAAAATTCCTCGCCCGCGGGTGCTTTCCCCGGCCACAGCAACACTCGCCTTCGGCTATCAGAAAGAGAAGGGCAAACTGGACAGCCGCGGGCGATTGCCGGATCAGCCTCTGAGCCGCTCGAGGAGGTGATAGCCGTGCTCTCCATATATCAGCCAGCCGCTCGGGTTGTGCCGCTATCACCACCACAACCTGCTGCATCCACACTTTCTTGCCCAAGAGCATTCCCTCGGTATGCGGACCATCACTTTCGAATTCGCCAAGCGCGAGGTGCCCGTGCTCCTCGACCTCTGCCTTCCGGATGCCGTCACGTCCGAACCGCTCCCCATCTTTGTGTGGTGGCACGGCGGCGGCCTGATTCAGGGCGCAAGACAGGTCATGGCGCCTCACCTGAAGCGCGCCGTCGACAAGTTCAACATCGCGGTGGTCTCGACCGACTATCGACTAGCCCCGCAGACACGCGTACCCGACATCCAGCAAGACATGGAGGATTGCCTCGCATACGTCATAGACAAGCTTCCTCAAGAGCTTGCTGCCAAGGGAGATGCTGCCAAGCTCGATACGGGTCGCATCGTACTCAGTGGATCGAGCGCCGGCGGATGGCAGTGTCTCATGGTCGGCCTCGGCATGTGTCCGAACAGCAAGGCCGAACACCTGCAGCGCGTCAAGGGCATCGCCGCCATCTATCCGATCATCACCATGGACCACCCTTTCTTCCTCGAGAAGCAGACTCCATTTGGTGGTCGTCTTGGTGACGATTCTGCCACCTTCGCCGAGTTCCGCGATCCAAATGCCCCGGTGACGGCCAACACGGCCGCCGTCGAGCATCGCAAGAAGTTCTACATGCACGCACAGCAAGAGGGTCTCTTTCCCTCGCTTCTCTTCTCCCAGGAGCAGCGCGATCAGGGATGGCTGCAGAAGACAGACGTCGAGGTCTTCCTCAAGGCCAGCTCCGAAGACCAGCGCCGCCGATTCCCGCCCGTCTACATCGTCCACGGCGAGAAGGATACGGCCGTCGACGTTGACCATGCGCGCCGGCTCAACACCACTCTCAAAGAGGTCGGTGCATCCGTCATCTACGACGAGGTGCCGGGACGTGACCATCTGTGGGACCAGCTCGAGCCAGAGGAGAACCTCGAAGCTCTGTGGGACTTCACCATGAAATCGCTTCGTTCGTGAATGGAAAACCAAGTTGCAAGGATGCGAAGGCTCTTGCTGGGCGTTGTTAATCTTGAATGCCTCTACACCATCTATACACGCAGAATGAGGACCAGCAGTGCCACCTCTGCCAGACCTACAAAGACGGTGGCCCCTGCCACGACTGAACCTGCCGTCACGAAGCTCTCTCGGAGCACCGTGCGAGATGCAAGTGGAGCCGATATTGGTGCCTCGGGTTGAGAAACAGAGTCGACAGGATGCGGAGCAATGAGCGTCGTTCCGTCTGGTTCCGTTGGGTTGGAGGCGGAAGGCGAAGCATGCTCTTCTGCAGGAGACTGATGGCCATCGACAACCTGCAATGCGACGAAGCGATTGGTGTTGCTGACCGCCATCTGGTACCGAAAGATGGCAACGGGGATGAAACCAATGCCGAGGATGGCATAGACGAGGCCTGAGCACGGACCAGGGTGTCAGGTGTGGGGCCCTTCGTGTTGACTCTGGAGGAAGCACTCACCGACATAGAAGAACTTGGGCTGGAAGAGGCGCAGAATGACGATGGCATAGCAGAGCTGGCCGAGCGCAGTGCGAGCATAGGCGCCATCAAAGGTGCGCTGCACCGCCCGATAGTCGAGCAGATCTCGCTGGCTCAGCTTGATCACGTTGGCTCCCCCCGGCACCGCCCCCGTCTCGGGCGCTGTCATGATGTCGGGCCAGAGATTTCGGCGGCGTCTCTCCAAGGGCCCTGGTGCCGTGCTTCTCTGTGCGAATGGTGGTGCAAGAGTGAGAAGCATATCTTCATTCCCTTGGCATTAGCGGACACCTGAATCAAGTGGAGGCTTGGTGGGCCTTCGCGTTTTGGTGCGTGCGAAGCGGGCCAAATGGCGCCAAAACGGGGGCACCGATGGGCTTGAGCGTCGATCCCCGATGCCCCAACTCGCCTTCTCAGATCGGCGTTGAAAGCAAAGACACGGCGGCGCCAGACCCTTGTCTCAGAGTGGGCTCCAAAAACCCACTTTTGAGCCACATGCAGAGCCGTGCATGATGCCGCCGACAAGCTTTTATCTTCGAAGCCTAGATCATCTTCCAAGTGACTCTACGATGAGCCATGGACCCGCCTGCCAGACTTTGGGAAGCGGCAGTCCTGGACACACGATCACCGCTTTCATCGAGCGGTCCCATTCGAACAAATGAGCTGGCGGCTCCACTCGCAACGCGCGTGTAAGAGTGGCTGGCTCGCTTGTTCTTTGTTACCCTAGCCGAGCAGGGCTGCGCACAGAGTATGAAGTGCATGAGCAAGCCCGGGCCAGCACGAACCGCAAGATGAGACGTCGCTGCTCGCCTATGCAAAACGAGCGAAACTCTCCCAGCTTCCATCGCGCGTGTGCCAAACGCCTCGTTCGTACACCAGCTGGGAGTGACCGAAAACTCTTCCCGCAGCTCGGATGCATTGACCGCCCTGTCACGCTGCAGACGGACCAACGGGATGCTGTACACCGCCTAAATGCGCACGCCATCCCTGCCCCCGCTCGCTGCCGCCGCTGCGCTCGGCAGGATCGCCGTCTTAGTTTCGCCGCCCAGAGACGGGATCAGAAGCAGGTCACCGGTGGCACCTTCAACTGTAGACGCCTTCCGCTGCGAGCGAGATACGCGATACCCCTTGCAGCTAAGCTGGTTTTGCCGCACCGTCTTTGTTTGTGTTGCCCTCTTACACCAGATCGCTCTTGCCGTCTTTCCTCCACCATACCTCGCTGCCTACCATGCTTCGACCAGACTTGCCAGGCTTGATCTTATGACATCGAGCGAGCTGACACAATGAGCTACGGGCACTGGCGCCATCCTGTCGATTGGCCCGTATGCAGCTCCGATCTGCTTGCTTCTACGTGGCGTCGTCTGCCGCGCGAGCTCTCGCTTCTGATCGTCGAGAGCACCTGCTGGCTGGTCCCTGCACCAACGCTGTACAACTGGTGCTTGGTGGACCGTGCCTGGTATCGCCGCGCCGTCGTTTCTCTCTACAGCTGTGTCTCCTTGTCGCCGCACGACGCCGATGAACGCGGCGCTCTACGTATCCAAAGCTTCTGCGACACCATCTCCAACAACCGTTGGCTGGCGAACACGGTGCGAGCGCTCGACTTTGCCATCAGTAGGGAGGAGGTCGGTCTCGCCAATCAGGAGCAGTATCTCGCCATCTTGACCCACTGCCACAACCTCCTCTACCTTCGCAATTTGCAGCGCCACCGCGATCCGGACGACACCTATCTCCTCTCCGTACCGCCCGGCGCATTGGCTCGCTTGCGCTGGCACGATTCGGACCTTCGCGCATTCGAGGAGCTCGTCGAGTCCGTCTTCAAGCCGCTCCACTTCCGCGCCAACCCAGATGCACGCGGCATCGAGCGTTCTGACCTCATCGCCACCGATGCCAGGTCGGCAGGTCGCATGCTGTACGACCTCAGGATGCTCGCACGCCTTCCCAGCGTTCACAAGCTGCCCAAAGGCTTCTTTCGCCGCATGGTTATCAATCAACTTCCGCGACAAAAGATCCTCTCTGCTAGATGCAGCAAAAACTATCAGAACGACCGCATAGGCACACGCATCGCCATAGGCGTCGTCGGCATGGTCTCGCGCCTCCTCCCCCAGGTCGAGCTCGTCGAAGTTTACGTCGCCGATCGCGACTTCCACACGGGGGCGCCGCTCCACTTCATCTCCAAAGCGAGCTCGACAGGATTGCCCTGCCTCTATCCCCGTTCCTTTTGGGACGACACCATACAACATCTCGTCGACCTGGCACCCCTTCCATTCGCGGTCGCCGTCTACCACGTCTGTTCAAACGAAGTGGGCGATGCTCCTGGCTTTGATATCGGCGGCGAATACGATCTGTCTCCGGCAGAGCAAGCACCGAGCTCGGATATCGAGGCTCTGGGAAATGAGTACCCCTACACCGTGCAGGAAGACGACGTCTCGTGCCGGTCAACGACCGGCCATGGCTGGCAAGAGCCGTTCCTTCTGCTTCCCAATTCGAAGCGCATGATGCCCATCAAGCTCAAGGGAGGCTACCGCACACTGCCGTTCACTTCCTACGACGTTGACGGTAGAAAGGCCTGGGAGGTCCTCGTCGATCCTCCTGCCCACATAGCGCCGGACGATGCGCATGCGGTGAATGTCAAGGAGGAATGGGACGTCGAGTCGATGCTGGGCGCCAGTCGGCCACGACCCTCGCTCATGCATCCGCTCACGCCCCGGCGCGGCTCGCTCGACTGGCTGCGACTCGTAGCCCGCAATCTCGAGTTTGGCCAGCACGATCTGGCCCTCTGAACAGCCGTTTCCTCCACCGAGTCTTGAGCGTTGATGCCTGATACCATCTGTACTTCTATCCTCTTTACCATATCGAAATAATAGCAACGTATCGAATCTCTTATATGCCATCTATGGTGAGGAAGTGCACCGGTGAAAGCTTGGCCAAGTCTGGAGATGGCGTCGTGTCGGGAGTGGATGGAGAAGCAAGCGATACAGCAGCGACAGAGCTTGCAAGAAGATGCGGAGAAAGCCGCAAGTCTAGACTCTAACATTTCGATTCGCGGCGCGCGCGTCCGTGCGGGGCTTCAGGGTAACGCTCCAACTTTTGCAGGCAGAAGCACCTGTAGTCCTGCCGACCATCACTACGCAAACAGGCGAGACACACATGCAACAGAGGCGAGCGCCGGTATGACAACGGTCCGCGAGCACTCAAAGGCAGGATGACAGAAAGACTGCTCGTTGCCGGCAGCAACTCGGGATTCCAGCTCGGTGTGGGCCACAAAGATGATGTACGGACGCTGCAAGAAGCGCGCTGCCAGCTCGATGCCAGAGGTCCGGACGGCAAACCGCTGATCGGCACGTTCCCCCCGCAAGGTTACACCGTGGCGGCCGTATCATCCGGCGCCAATCACACTTTGGCTTTGCTGAGACCGGTGGGCTGGACCGAGACCCTGTCCGGTCACAGCGGACTCGCCGAGGTCTGGGTGTGCGGCTCAGGTAAAGAGGGTCAGCTTGGGCCTGCATATGCTGCGAAGCGAGCTAGACAGCCCAAAGTCTTCACCCGCCTGGACTTGGCCGAATGCTTGGCTTCACTTCCGGAAGAAGACCGCAGGGCGTTTTCGGGAAAAGACGTCGAGCCCTCCTTTGTCCAGTGTGGCTGGACCTGCAGCTACGTCGTTCTGGCGACGGCTACTGCAACATCAGAGCAGAGCGAGGTGGTCTCGTTCGGCTTCCATCGAGACCATCACTTCGGCGAGCTCGGTCGGCCGGCTCCAGTCGACACGGATGTGGGGGCACCGACAGACGGCGTGGAGCGATGCGTGCATCGAGTCCGCCTCGAGTGCTTGTTCGAGCAAGTTCGACTTGATGCAGACGGATACTTTGAGGTCGAAGGCATTGCGGCAGGTCTGCGACATGCGATCGTTGCCCTGAAGTACTCAAATGCAGACTACGAGACGACGCACGCGATCGTGGCAGGCTGGGGCTCTGCACGTCACTCCCAGGTCGGCAATGCGATCAAACGACCATCGACAGCCCGTCCGCCTGACAAGAAGCGACGTGCGTATGTTCCAAAGGTAGTATGGGAGCCGCAGCGCATGTGGAGTGCTGAGGAAGGCGGAGGCGTATGGCACTTCCTTGACCTGGCGGCAGGAAGAGATCATTCGATCATCTTGCTCACCAAATATGATCGTGGTGGTGAAAGGAGAGTGCGAACCATCAACTTTGGATCCAATTACAAGGGGCAGCTGATGGACGCCCCAGCTGTCTGCTTCGTCGATGGAGATCCGGAAGACCTGATCGCAGTGTCTTGCAACTGGACAAGCACCCACGTGCTCCTCGAAGCGGGTCGTTGCTACGTCAATTGCGAGCGCATCGCGCATGCGGTGGCCAGCTGTGGAAGCAACAGCAAGGGCCAACTCGGTGACGGGACGCGAGAGTCGATAGCTGGCGACTATGGGGTCACACTTGTCGACCTCGAGACCGTCTTGAACCACAGGCCGACCTCGGTCGCAGGGACTGCCGATTCAGAGCGCTTTCCCGAGACCGAAGAGTTGAGCGTGTCCAAGATGGCGTCTGGCAGCGAGCATACGCTGCTGCTCGTGAGGCGCGATCTGGACACAAGCCTTGGCTTCCCCTATGCTTCGACGAAGGAAGTGTGGGGCTTTGGCTGGAACGAGCACGGCAATCTCGCGCAGGGCGAACACGACGAGTCGGACCGCGACAGGCCCGTGCCTCTCATCAACGGATCGCGGTCCGGTGCCGCTTCCGCATATTCGCCGCTGGACATCTGGGCCGGAAATGGGACCTCTTTCATTCGCGTCGAACAACGGCCCGGCGCACCGACGACCTGAGGCGGCAACCCACCCGTTGACGATGTGCCGTCGCTGCGCCGTCGATGCGCCGTTGATGCGGGGATGTCCTTGCACGCGTCTGTGAAGCGGCGCCAAAGCACCTCGATGCTTTTGTCAGGGTCCACTGTTGCACGGCATTCAAAGAGCGCAAAAGATCTCCACTTCGTCGGAAATCTCTATCGACCGGCGACCACAAGGCAAGGCCTGTCTGGACGCCGCCAGCTGGGCCAACGGAACTCGGACGAGTTCGCCGTGCCGCAGTGAACCACGAGGCTGACGGCCAAACCACGGTGGAATGCTTCCTGCAAGATTGGTGCGGCCCGCCAAAGCAATCTTGAGCGTCGACAGCAGCAGAGACCGCCAGCCAGGACATCTTTTTTTCTCTTTTTTTTATCTGTAAATTTTTGGATCGATAAGCGGGATCACCAAAATTTCCGTCGCACAACGAACGAGAGCGAATCGTTCCTTGATGTTGTCCATACTCGAGCGCCTCGGCATTGTCAAGCTGCACGTACGAGGCTCGGGTGAGCCAAATGAGGGTACGGTAGGAGGGTGCCGAGGAACAGCGAAGCTGCCGTGACTCTGTAGCCAATACTCTACCGCCAGGGCCGGCTCCGTGCCTTGAACCCAGCTGAACAGACTTGAGCACTTCGCCGACCGTCCGAAGTCCGAGCGCTAGCACGGGACGCTCCCACACGACGCGGTGTGGCACAGCAGATGGTGGGAGCAGCCGATCTTCCGACAGCATGTGGGAGTCTCCCGCCGCAAAGGTGTCGGCTCCAAATTGAGTGTGCTTTGGCAGGTGCGCGCGTGCAGATCGAGACGAGATCGGGCACAGCGCCCTGAGTGGCTGATGCGGTCCGGTTCCTCTCCTCGCCTGCGCCGAAGCGGGCCTTTGCCGCTGCTAAGTCACAGCAGCATCGGAGTATTTCTTTTTCGGTTGCGGGCGCGACGGTGCGCGTCTCAAACCAAAAAAAAAATAAGGGACGAAGCTCGCTCGATGCAGTGCTCGACGAAACTCCAAGGCTTCCCACGCGGTGGCTCTGGAGCCCGTAGGGCAACCAGATTGCCGAATTTCGGTCAGGGTTCGCTCGAAACGCGGCCATGCAGAATTGTCACGAGCTCGTCATCTTCCTGCCAGCCCGGGCCAGGCGACCAAATGCAGGCATCACTGCACACCGCACCGATCCTATCTCGGCGGCGCACAAGCACACACAGCAATTTCTTCGCGCCTCGCGCGGCTCAGACGACAGGAGGAGAAAAAAAAAAAGATAGCACAGGGCACAGTCACATCGGATCTTCTGCAGGGCCGAGGGCGCTGTGCAACACGGTGAGGTGAGAGCGCCCGTGGCATGACTGAATGCCCAACGATCCATCCTTTGACGAGCAAGCAACACCCAGCTGACCAGCAACGTGCTCGCGCCGGCCGCATTCATTGTCCTCTCGAAAGCCCTATCTGCCTTTCATCCTTCCCTTCTCCGTTGTATCTGCCACCACCACCACCACTCTTCATCTTTCTCCTCAAACCAGATCTCATCCACTCGGAAGGATGATGATGTCCCCTGCAATCCGAGCAGGCTCGCTTCGAGCCGTGGCGTCACCGTCCATGGCGCTGCGCGCCTCGAGGCTCGGTATGCCATCCACCAGCGCCGCCCCGGCTGCGTCTGTTGCGCCCGTCTCGCGCATGCTTCGGGACCAGCAGCAGATCCGTGGAATCTTCCGAAGCCGTTCGTGGAGGAACGACAAGACGGCCGCCGTAGCTCAGGCCGCCCAGGCCGAGGTTCAGGCGCAGCTGCCACCGCCAAATAACGGCGGCAAGAAGCGAGGCGGCTTCTTCCGCGGCCTCAAGCGAACCTTTTACGTCCTTGCCATCGGCAGTCTGGGAACTTACGCCTACTTTGTCTACCAGGGCCGACACCCGCCTGATCAGCTGCCTCAAGATCCCACCAAGAAGACCATCGTTGTGCTCGGAAGCGGCTGGGGAGCGACCTCGCTGCTGAAGAACATCGACACCGAAGAGTACAATGTCGTGGTCATCTCGCCGCACAACTACTTCCTCTTCACCCCTCTGCTTCCTTCCGTCACCGTCGGCACGCTTGACGGCCGCAGCATCGTTCAGCCTACCCGCCACACGACGCGCTTCAAGACGCGCGAGGTCAAGGTGTACGAGGCCGATTGCGAATACGTCGACCCCATCAACAAGACCGTCACCTTTGAGGACAGGAGCGAGGTCAAGGGCTCCGTCTCCAAGGTCACCATCCCCTACGACTACCTCGTCTACTCGGTCGGCACCGAGAACCAGACGTTCGGCATCGAGGGCGTCAAGAAGCACGCCTGCTTCCTCAAGGAGCTCAGCGACGCCGAGAAGATCCGTGCGCGTCTGATCGACTGCGTCGAGAGCGCCGCGATCAAGGGCCAGTCCGAGGAGGAGATCGACCGTCTGCTCCACATGGTCGTCGTCGGCGGCGGTCCCACGGGTATCGAGTACGCTGCGGAGCTGCGCGACTTTGTCGAGTCGGACCTCATCCGCTGGTACCCCGAGGTGGCCAACAAGCTGCGCGTGACGCTCGTCGAGGCGCTGCCCAACATCCTGCCCATGTTCTCGCAGACGCTCATCAAGTACACCGAATCGACGTTCAAGGAGAACTCGATCGACATCCTCACCAAGCACATGGTCAAGGACGTCGACGAGCGCGATGTGCTCGTCAAGACGCCCTCGGGAGAGGAGAAGAAGATCCCATACGGCCTGCTGGTCTGGGCTGCCGGCAACACGGCGCGACCGCTGACGCGCCAGCTCATGGCCGCGCTGCCCGAGCACCAGAAGAACCGCCGAGGCCTCGAGGTGGACGACCACATGCGCCTCAAGGGTGCCGAGGACTCGGTGTTTGCGCTCGGCGATGCCACCGCCACGCACTTCGCACCCACCGCCCAGGCGGCCTCGCAGCAGGGCGCGTATCTTGCGCGCGTCTTCAACCAGCTCGCTCGCCTTCAGGTGCTCGAGGACAAGCTCGCCGCCTCCAAGAAGGCCGGTGCCGACGCCTCGGAGCTGAGCGGCATCGAGCGCCAGATCGAGAAGGCCGCCAAGATCCGTCCGTTCAAGTACTCGCACCAGGGCTCGCTCGCCTACATCGGCTCCGAAAAGGCCATCGCCGACATCCCCCTGCTCGGCAACAACCAGATCGCCTCGGGCGGTGTCGTCACCTTCATGTTCTGGCGATCCGCATACGTCTCGATGCTCTTCTCGCTGCGCAACAGGTCGCTCGTCGCCGCCGACTGGTTCAAGGTCTTCCTTTTCGGTCGTGACGTCTCGCGAGAGTAAGCTCTGCCACACCGACCATCGTGCATGCTAGCTAGGACCTTGCCCTAGAAGCCTCGAGGCTTTACCTTCCGATCCTTACAACGCTGCATCCACCCTTACACGTCAGGCCGCTCGCCTGCCCCGTTTCCGTGCTCTCGCACCTGTACTCTTATCTCCACCGTCTCGAACCGCAAAAAGATGACGATAATCCCAGCTTCCGAGTGGCGGATGTGGAAGCTTTGTGCGGACATTTGTTGCGTTGCGCGGCTCGAGAAGGAAGCCTAGAGCTGCTGAGAGGACCTGATCTTGCCGCCGTGCTCGCCTAGTCGGACCGAGAAGCACAGCTTGGAGCGCTGCCGTGGGCTCGTGCACCTTGCGCAACTGGCTAACGTCGGGCATCTGGGACCGGCTCGAGGCATGGCCACGGCCAGCCCTCCGTTCAGTCACCCCGACGCGTCCGTAATGGACGGGCGCGGTCGCTCGGACCAGCCGCCAAATTAAGGACTGACTCAGCTGGTCGGCCCACCCGAATCACGTCTCCAGCTCCTTGGCCAACACTCGAGGAACTAGGCGCCAGCCCTCATGCCTGGTCGTTCGGCCCCTCCGTCGACTTCGTCACGAGGTCTGTGTGTGATGCTCGCGTGTGATGCTCTGGCTCAGTCGGATGCGTCCGACACCTCGGTCATCGAGCCAGGGCTGGCGGCAGCAGAGCACTGGCCAGCAGAGCACTGGCCAGGGCAGCAGTTGGACCCTTGATCCCGGTCGCCACGCATCAGCAATTCGTTGTGTGGAGAACTGAGCCTGAGCCTCTCCTCTGCTGCTCGACTCCCACGCCGCTACGCCGCTGGCTCTTTGCCGTCTGAGCTCGACTCAGCACCATATAAAAGGGGCTCGTCCAACTCCTCCAACATGAGCTTCTTGCCCCGTCTCTGGCTCCCACTCGGCTCCGCCAGCAACATCATCAGTCATGGCGTTCGATATCTACGCTGAGGGCGGCGCGGACATGCTGCTGTCGCGCGCCAAGCTGCTCGAGATCATGGACAGCCTGGGCACCAGCCTGCCCGAGGAGCTTCGACACGTTCGCCGAGCCGAGCCTGCAGTCGAACAGTCGGAAGCTCATGCTTACCTTGGTCGCTCGACATCGTCGTCTGACAACTGGAGAGAGACCGTGGCGGCAGGTCCAAGTCACGCCAACGAGCACTGGAAGCCATCCGCCGGCTCGACCGAGTTCGAGGCCGAGTGGGCGCGTCTTTCGCCGGCCATCACAGCCCTGCCGAGCTTCTTCAAGATCAAGCAGCTCGTCATGCGCAACTCGTCAGGCAGGTCTACCTTCCAACGCTCCCTTGCCGTGCTGGCAAACGGCATCGACCATTGCTTCAAGTCACGCCCCGCCTTCCGTCACATCTTGCTCGACCTGGACAACGAGTCGCAGGAGGCGCTCTTCGATTCGGTCGAGTATGCCGGGCTTCTTCCGCCCCAACCCGATCTTGTGACCCTGTCCGAGGCCCTGTGGGAGTCGCACTTCGGCATCCCGCGCGATCTAGCTTGGTATACGGCACCCGCCGAGTCGCCCTGTGGAGTCACCAGCTGCGTTTCGACGCGCTTTGCGCCGCCGACGCCGATGGTCCTCGGCCTTGCACGCTTCGCGATCGATTCGCCTTCGGACGTGGTCCATTGTGCGATGGCCGGCACAAAGCGTCCT